GTAAAACGCTTGGTCTCCACAGAGTCTATGTTAAAGCAATTGAACCATAATAGAATACATTAGGAAGTTGCACAAAAAGACTTGAATGCCCTTCTCATTGATTCCTAACATGGAAAATAGCCCTGAAGAATGTTGTCTAGTCATGTCCCATGTAACTATGCAATTACATAATTTTTATTTTATATGATGGAACCAGGGAATTTATGGACATGACCAAAAGTACTATCGTGTAAGGGAATACCGAAATGGAAATTGCTTTCAAGGAACAAAAAAAGTGATAGTTCTGCAATCCAAAAATCATAAAAAAAATTATGAAATTAAAAAATGTTGAAAACTTTAATGTTAAGATTCTTTAACATGGAAATCTTATGAGAATTAACTGCCTATAATAACATTGTTATTTAATTTCTTTACCCGTAATGGAAATGTACTTTCCAAATCACCAACATTCGTGGATTCTGTTTCATTCGATTGTAAGCTAATTCTATCACGATGAGTAGAAATGTTCATCACTTGAAGCCTTGGATTCAAGATCATAATCCAGGCATAGATTTCCCATTCTATCTTACTTAAAATTGACCCTAAATGTATGGAGTAAGAATCCAACGCACGCCAAACATAGTTAAAGCTCATCTTCCATTGTCAAATACAGTAAGAAATGAAAATTCAAACATATTGAAGCTCAAATTTATCATAAAACTAATTTAGGCACCTAGTTCACCTCTTCATTTGGGTTCCCGATAAACTACGAAGATGACATGAAAACAAAACAAGTCAAGAAAAGAAAATTTTACCCTTTCATTTTTTTTTCATCATGCATAGAAATTGTGTCTTAATTCTAGATTACAAAACTACAAAATGTCATTGGATGCTTCCATGGGTTTCTTAGTAACTCAAGTATTTCAAATCATAGTAGGATTCTTACATATGATTCAAAAACTCCATACAATACATCAACAGAAGCTACAAGATAATTCAAACACAAGAATTTCATAATAAAATTATTGTAAAGACTAATGTGAAATTAAAGGGTTGTAAAGTTTTTAAGAACCAAAAATTCTCAAGTAAAATCCAAATGGAGATTAACCATAACATACTCTATAAGTTTCAAAATGTGCCAATCAATATATAGCCCACATATAGTCGTTTAAATACTCCCTCTGTCCCAAAATTATTGTCCACAAGATTCACACAGATTATGAAAAGCAATAACTACCACTTACTTTATCTATAAAATGAGTACTCTAACCTTTCTTGCATTTAATGTACTCATTAAATTCTTAAGGGATTTTGTATTTATAGAAGTGGACTAATATTTTTGGACAAACCGAAAAGGAAAAACATTAAGTTTGGGACAAAATGAATAATAAATATATATACGAAGAGAGAGAGAGAGAGAGAGAGAGAGAGAGAGAAGAGAGAGAGAGAGAGACTACCAAGTTGTGGTTTTCACCATAATATCAATCCTACAATAACAAGAAACTTTAATTAAGAAACATGAACAATCTAACTTCATAAGGCTTTAAAAGCTAACAGAGATGTGGGTAATACGACAGAAGAAAAAGGAAGTAATTTTGGATTTAAAAGCTAACAGAATGATGGGTTATATATACAATAAATAAAAAAAGGAAGCACATACATTTACCTAATAACCAAATACAGATAAGTAACTTTGCAAATAAGCATATATGAAGATAGTAAACCTATATTTAGGAAAAATTAGTATTCTAGTAAAAGTAGGCAATAAAGTTAGGCCTTCTTCTAATAATTAGTGCATTTTCTTCATAAAAGATTAAAAATAAACGTGGACATGAAAATCAAGATATACAACACATGATACAAGCAAAACAAGGTTTGATGATGTAAGAAGATCATATTTTATTGTTAGAAAACAAAAGCATATACACAAATGTGTATAGATCTATTTCCCTTTAAGGCCTAAAAGGAGGTATTTGATAAAATAGTAACAAAAAAATGCATAGTAAAGTGCATGGTAGTTTATTTGTTACCAGTTTCCTCATCTAGAAAGCGGAAAAAATTATCTTCTATTTGTTCATCAAGATCATGCAACCAGTTGAATAAGTAAATGGACATAATCGGTTTATGAAACCCACCAATAGATTCCAAAATATGCAGTAGTAAAATCATTGATTACACAATCAAATCAAGCAGGGATAAATTGCTCTTTTGATAAAAAAAAACATATCAATATATGGATGTTTCTTACTATATGAATATGGCACTTGTTCCTTTTAAATGATTTGGCGCAAATGGGAATCGATCTATTGGTGATTCAGAATATCCCCCGGTTAAACATCCTAAATTCCAATTGAAGATTACATGAAAAAATGATCGAAACCGAAAAAACTTGTACAAAAAACGAATCAAATTATGAATATACATCAAGATAGAAATAAATACTCCCTTGTAAAAGCGTAGAGTAATTTGTAAATTTATTGAATTCCTCGAATTAGGGAAAATTTTGCGGGTTTTGCTTAACATTGGAAGCGTTTAAAGAAATATTCCTAAAATTTAATAAAAAAAAAGTAAAAATAATAAACCTGAATCCAGAGCATCTCCTGACGGGTGTACCCATCCAATTTGATGGTTGTTGTTTAAGCTGTTAAGTGTGGTTGTGTGCTTGGAAACATTGGCACAAGAAAAAAAGGTTTATATAGAACGAGAGGATTTGAAGGAGAAACGACGGTAAGAAGGATTGAATCGACGTAGTGGTAAATTGTGTCGTTCCGACGGTGGTTTACGTGGAGGCATTAGAAGTTAAACATATTTAAATAGTGCTCAAACCCTAAAAATTAGGGCTTACACTTATGCTATGTATGCCCTGCATACCTAAGAGTACACCCAATGTACGAGAAAAATAATGTGTCCCCCATAATGCGGCTTTGGGATCAATTTTGCAATAAATTTCACACCAAGGGGTTAAATGGAAAATACAGGAACAATAGGTGTTACACCAATATACAAATGGGCCCAACACAATATATAAATGGGCCCAAACCAATATACAAATGGGCACATCCCAATATGCATACAAATGGGACCAACCCAACATACAAGTAATTGGGCTCAACTTAACATGCAATTGATAGAGTCACAAAGACATCTAGCATCCTACACAGTAAAGTGAGAAGAATCACTTCAATCTAAACACACACAAATATTACACTTGAGTTGTCTCCTCATACTACTCATATATACAATAAGACCCTAATAAGAAATTAAGGTAATAATCCATACATAAAGGTCTTAATTCATAGTTACTATTTCTAGGGTAAAAGTCTGTTTTACCTTTCCAAGACTAGAACCTACCCCACTTGACCAATATTCCATTTTGCCCAAAAACCACCCTTCTGGTGCTACGCCCAATGTACACCATGCTCTACGCCCATCGTAGAGCCTCTGATGGAAAAATGGGGACACTTTAGGCTACGCTAAGCTAAACCAAAATTACGCCTAGTGTAGTATGTTGTTTTGCCAACTTATTCTAAACATCAAATTTGGACCTAAAGAACGTCCTAAGGGGTAAACTCTCTGACTTTAGACCTTTGCATGGATAAAAAGGGAAGAAGACTAAACTCTAATTCCATGAAACCTTCAAATGCTAAAGATATTATGCATGGGTGGATGGGAGTGATCAAGCTCCCATTTTTATGAATCTACAAGCTCATAGATATCTAGAAATGACACTCATAAGGTCTAAAGTAGCTCATACCCATACAGGTCACCGTTAAGGAACAAAAAGCATAAAAACCCATGAGCTAAATTGTAACACCCCGACTCTCAGGTGATAATTTTATGGCTTTAATTTTCTTAATTTCAAGGTCTACTCGACAATTTGGATGCCTTGACTCATCGAGTAGAAGCCGATTGGGCCACGTGTTTAAATGATCTACTCGCCGTGTCCAAGATAGGACTCGACGAGTAAGAGCTGGATGATGAAACCCTAATTTTCGGGGTTTTGCTTCCTATTTAAAGGATCATAAGCCTCCTTTATCCTGCTTATAGCCTCTTGAGAGTCCATCAAACTCTAATTCGTGTGTGTGCTTCATTCTTGTGTGTTTTAAGCTTTGGAAGGTGGATCTTAGTGAGAAGAGCTTGGAGAGCAAGTGGCTAGAAGCAAGGAACGTGTGGGGATCTGATATCTACCTCAATTAGAATCTTTTGGAAGGTATCAAGTCGTTACCTAGACCTGATTTCCTTCTAGATCTCATTTGGTTAAAGATTAGGGCTTTTCAAGCATATTATGAAACTATTTTTGGGTATGAGCTAATATCTTAAGTTGTAACTTCAGATCTGAACTCTCTTTGGTCTTTAAGTCCATAAAGCTTTAACCTTTAGCAAGTATGAACCTCT